TTACGCTAAACAACCCACTTTGGATCTGAAATACACAGTTTTTGGAAGGTTACAGCATTTCGTAGTATTTTTTAAACTTGCCGGTAACTTAAATTAATTGTGTTTTAATTATAGGGTTATTGACGGTTTTGATGCATTAGACGAACTTGAAAAAATAAAAGTTGACTCTAAGTATCGTCCAGTTGTTGAACAAACAATTCGAAATGTCATTATTCACGCGAATCCTATTGCTGACCTCACGTCCACCACTTGACCTTATTCATATTACATTTAAGATTAGCAGACTCTGTATACTAAATTTTACCAACCAGTCAAGAACCTATTTAAATCTAAGTAAAACTCTGCGAAAATGTCATGGTCCCCAATTCGAAAAATCACTCAAATTTCCTTCATCATCCAGTTTGCACACATCCACTGAACCTTCTGAATTAACACCTAGTGAAATGAAGAAACGAATGACTGAAATTGAAGAATATTTCAAAAATTACATTGACGAGTATTATGAAGTTGAAGAGAGAAAGAAAGACGAAAAGGAAGCTCCTGAAAAAGGTTAGGGTTCATTTCAAGTTGCCGTCGCTATATTTCTTCTTTAAGGGAATTCAGTACCCATTTTGATATATTGGTCCTAACAATCTGTGATTATTTTCGCTTTATAGAAATTGTAGTTTGATTTTTTACATAGTTTTCGCCTGCTTGGTTAAATCTGTACTGTGTTCGTTTAAAATTAGATTTGATAGCATTTTTAGCTGTTACGTTTAAAAGGCCAAAGCCACTACTTTCGGATCAGCGAGGGATTGAAAATGTTATTGATATACACGAATTGGTACATATATTACGGGAAGAGCGTGCAGCAGATATTGTTTGCATTGAAGTACCACCTTCTGACGGTCCCAGTCGTTACATTGTTATTTGTTGTCCTTTCAATTATAGGCACGGACGAGCGCTGTGTGAAACAGTACGCAAATGTTATAAAATTAAACGGAATCAGGAGGTGCACAGTCATTATAGAGCATATTTAACATGCTGCTAAATTTTACTCAACTAAATTTTACTACAAGTGTATTTCAGGATGCGATGATAGCGAAACCAGTAAGGAATGTTGCTGGTTGGTATTGTTTCCAAATGCAGGATCTTACACTACATATTTTGACACCGAAACTTCGTGAGAAATATCAGCTGGAAGTACTATGGGGAATTGATGAGAAGGCGAGCTTTGAGGCGGATGAAGATGTGTCACTTTAAAATCAGTTGCTTTGGCAGGTTATTAGGTTTACTGTTTAGCTGTAGGCTTTGAAATTGATCGATGAAGCGAGATTACCTGTACTCTTGATACTCCTTTTCTATTTTATCTGATTTTACCAGGTGCTTTTTTGACATATATTGTTGTTTATTTTCTTTGCTTGGCATTAAAATAACCTCTTCTGTATTGTAAACAACTGTTCGTCAGCGGAGTGAGTTTTCTGGCGCTCAACTTTTGCTCTTTTTTGTTGATCTTCTTTGGTAAAATATTATTGGAATTGTTTGTCAACAGCGAGGTGTCACTTCTTTTTAATGTCATTTTTTGTTGTCTCACAATTGCCTTAGCAGATCATCAATCGTTTATTAGATAGTTGAAATATAAGTTATTCAAATGAAAATAATTGTTCGTACTAGACAGTTTTAACAAAGTTGCTTTGGTTTCTCATTAAGTTTTTATTAGAGTAAAATAATGAAATATAACTGAGAAACAGTTTAGTGTCGGATGCTTTAGTGTTAGGGATTATCCAGAATTTTTGGTAGCAGTTTTTGTTTGCGGTCATTGTTGTAAAAATTCAATTGTTGTGCAGCACGTTTGTGTCATTTTGCTGTAGTAAACAACTGGGAATAGATGGATAGGTTGAAGAGTAGCAGCATTTGACTGGATTAAAAAAAAAAAATAAGATGTATGTTTTTTATGGAGCCAATAATTGTTTGCAGCGTAAAAGAAAAAAAATTAGGCAAAGGAACGGATGGTATTTGTGCAATAAATTTGTGGTGTAGTGAGGCAGAATCTTCAAGATTAGATGTTGTCGAATACAGCAGTTAGCTTGACTGGTGAGAATACCGACTGGGTCGAAATTAAATGGTATTACTTTAATGGCTTATAGTTGTCTTAAGATCGTCCGCGATTGACTGGATAATTATCTTCAGAAATGTAGCAATCATACGTTGGGCGAGGGGTTTGTGTCGTTTGAATTTTTTTGATGGGAGTTGAAACTGCGTACAAGAATCTTGGCGTTAGCGTATGTAATATGGATGATGGAATATTGGCGACAAAAACAAAGGTTTATTATTTTGCTGACTGTCTAAATTTTTTTTTTGTTGATTTTGTCGGTATTTTTTTTCTCAAATCAAGTGTTTTAAAATTTTACTGAAGCAAAGAAAAAGCTGTGAATGGTGTTAAGAATCTGATAGGTCAGCCGTATGTACATTTTATTTGACTGCAACAGAAAAAAAACTTCAGAAGCGCTTTCATTTTACATGTCATCAATTAAATAGATTTTTAACCTCAAACAGTGATATTAATTATTAAAGGTGATAGGCTGTAGCCTGTGTTATTGATATGTGAATTTTTATAGGTTCAAAATTTGGCCTTTTTCTTCCAAGAAGTTCAGAATTTTAGCATTTCTTTGATTGACGAACAATCAATCATATGTCTGATTAGTTGTTGTTGTTGTTGTTGTTGTTGTTGTTGATGTTGTTGTTGATGACGGTGATGATGATGTTGTTATTGTTGCTAATGCTTTTGATCCTAGTTTGGATATTTATTCAATGTACCCGTTAATTATCCGTAGTAAGTTTTTTTCTTACAAATATGGATAAACTTATTGGTGAAATTAAAAAGAAAAAAAAAGAAGAGGAAAGTTGCCTTGATGAACAAGTTCAAAAAGCACTTTAGATAATTCAGCACTAAGCTTTGTGAACATTAGTTTATCATCTGAAAATAATTACCGCTGTTATTACTGCTGCTGCTACTGCTCCAACTATTGCTGTTGCTTATTCTATATATTCGGTCAACAAATGCTCATAACGTATCCATCTGACTGTGAAAAACAATATGTGATTGAATGGATGGAATGGAATAACAGAAAAAAAAAATGACCTGCAATATTCAAAC